CAAGGACCAGAGAAGGACCAGCCAAGGACCAGCCAAGGGCCAGCCAAGGAAAGAGAGTAAATTTTGAATGGCTACCACTGTAGTTGTGATTGGAGCTGGTCTCGTATCAGGACATAAAAAAGTATCAGTGAAAACATGAAATATTGTACCTTTTACCCATTTCCCACTGGTGTAAAAACTAGTGTAAACCCGGACTTTTAGTGGCAGTGGGAACAGCTCACTGATGCATGTCTATCCGGGTCAAACGACTCGGCATGCGACCTGCATTAAAATCCCCTCGGCTCTGATCAACATGCTGTGGAAATATCAGATCCAGGTTGACCAGTTAAATGACGTGATACCATTGAACGCAAGAGAGCAGCTTGATTAGCCAGTGGGAAGGAAACCAAATGCTGATTGTTAGCAGGTCGACCCATGTTACAAAAACACGAGTTAACCTGCTATTTTCAGTGGGAAAGAGGCTTTGAAGGCCCTATGGAAGGCAGAAGCTCTAAAGGGTTGAAGCGTGGGCACCGCACCAGCTCAGCCCTCCAAGTCCAGAGGAGGAGGAGGAGGAGGAGGAGGAGCCTTATTAAGCTGAAGGTTGTTTCTTCCCAGCCGCCTGTCATGGGGCTGCTGTGGTTTAGCCGTTAATTTCCTCTTTGTTCATCGTTTTACGGCGCAGAGACAAACACACCATCAGCTTCCACTCACTCTCCCGCTCTGGCCTTTTCCATCCCATTGAAAACCTCCTGCATTATGCAGAGCCAGTGCCCAGCAGGACCCAGCGTGACTAATGAGCCCCTGATCCGGCGGCCCGTCCTCCCCTGGATCTGGGGGCCCGCTCATCAGTAACAGTGACAGAGGAATTACTCAGGCCTAAGTGGCTTGTCAGACTGTCCTGCAGGATGTCGGTGGGGGGGACAGGCTCCGCCTCCTCCTCTTCAGTTGACCTGTGAGCAGCTGATGTGTCTGAAAGGGGAGAAAGTGGACCTCCAGATGGTAGCGTTTAACCGGATGATCTGCTACCTGACTGGGATGAAGGTCCAGGAAGATAAACAGGCGCTTCAAACGGAGCAAAATCAAATGAACGATTTCTGATTTTTGCTGCTGACCAGCTTCCCAGCGATGAGTCATCAGGTGCTGACGTCAGGCAGGAGGGAAACCTGATTACAGTCAGCGGGACTGAGACTGGCTTCCTGCTGTAACCCAATCAGTCTTCATCTTCGTCTGTCTGCTTGTCCTCCTGCAGCTCCTGATTCTTCGGCTGGCCTCCACACCTTGCATCACCGCTGCAGCATGGACCATTTAGCCCAGGAACACAGCCAGACCTTGGCAGCCGTGTGAGGAGAGCAGAAGCCTGTGCCTGGATGAAGGCCCGGGGTAGAATGGCAGGCTACCAGGAGCCAGTCCTCCATCTGTCCCCCTGCAGGAGCCCAGGTCCACTCAGCCTATTTATAGCAGGACTCTGGGGTTAAACGTTCTGTTGGTCTCACTGTTGTCTTTGGGTTTTTACCCTATGCTTCTGCTGCTCTAATCAGACCATTATTGTTCGCTCAGAATGATGTGGATTCATGATGAGCAATAAAGATCATGTCTGCTCTGTTGGAAACTGAAGGTCTGAACTGGAAATGTTTGTTTTCAGATTAAAGTTATTCTTTCTGGAGTTAATGGAGGAGAAAATGGTTTTAGCACTAAAGAGATGAGAGAAAGATGAAATTCTTCTCCTGCTTCTCCTCCTGATCTTTAAGGAGAAGCTCCCTCAGTTCTGACATCCAACCAGATCGCTGACCTGAACATCTCCACTTCCTGTAGAGGCGGTTCTGCTGGGGCAGAGGGAGGCTGCAGCTGGGTCTGAATCAGTGGCTGCTAGCAGAACAGCTCAGAGACACGAGCAGGAGACGGAGCAGGAGAAGGAGCAGGAGATGGAGCAGGAGATGGAGCAGGAGATGGAGCAGGAGACGAAGCAGGAGATGGAGCAGGAGACGGAGCAGGAGAAGGAGCAGGAGATGGAGCAGGATGGGGAGACCCTGCAGGTCAACCTGATAGATGTCCAGAAGTCTGCAGAAAATGAATCTCTGCAGACATCATCATTGTGAGGCTAACCTCAGCATCATCGCTGCTTCACACTCAGCCCTCAGACACTGAGATCACCTGGTCCAAGGATTCCTCCTGCGGAGCTCCAACTTCCAGCTGTTTCTCCCCCTGAGTCAGCCTCCTCGCCCTCCTCCTCCCTCCCTCATTCACTCCTGACGTCCACTGATGCATTCAGGATCTAATTAGCAGCCTCAGAGATCGTTACTCATTGAGAACCCACAATCGATTCCTGTTTGAGCCTCTTCTGGGGCTGCAGTGACCTCAGGTGCTGCGCTGCCCTCAGGAGGGAAGTCTTGGCAGAGCGGATTTAATTAGCGCAGCGTCAGATGGCGTTAGCGGCCGTTAATGGCCTTGCACGCTCATTAACATGGTGATCACACCCCTTCACTTTGAAACTCTCACAGTGTGAATCCAGCTCTGTCCTCTCCTATTGAGCAGATCAATCCCAGTCTGACCTGCAGACTGGGTTTTACTGGGTGACAGATCGGGGGTGTGGACCCGGTGGTGATCGGGTACGGCGGTCTCACCTGGAGGCTGGTGATCTGAAAGGTGCCGTTTTCCATCAGGGTGATCCGGCCGTCGTTTCCCAGGATCCTCTGGCCGTCCTTCTCCCACTGAATGCTGGGGAAGGGGTTTCCCATGACGTGGCAGTGCAGCTGAGCCGTGGACCCGGGGGCCAGGGTGTGATTCCCCGGCCCCTGGCGGATGATGGGGGGGACCCTGTCTGAGGGAGCTGGAGGGACAGCAGACAGAGGTAGAGGTTAATAGCTGGTCTCTAGTTTCCTCCTTTCAATAAAAGATCCTCAGGTTATTCTCCTGCTGGTGACCAGCAGCTGGTTAACAGCTGGATCAGAAACACTACAGTCTGTCTTCATCTGCTCACTGAGACTCAAAGAGCTGAAGAACAGAGATGGAGGAATCTTTGCTAATCAGAGAGAAAGCAGACGGCAGATCGGGACGCATCAACGAGGCTTTTCAAGTCAAATCTAACCGGCAACATGTTTCCATGTTGACTACCGTATTTCCTGGACTATAAGCCCCTACTTTTTACCCACGCTTTGAACCATGCTGCTATAAGGTTCAACTTTTCTGTGGATTTTTCCAAACTGCCAGAGGTGGAATTCAATTCAATTCAATTCAATTTTCAATTCAATTCAGTTTATTTATATAG